GTATTTCCATTCTTCCTGTTATTGTCCGCAAAGGGGGTTGGAGTGGTGAGGAAGAAGAAGACGACGAATGCGAGCCCGAAGCTTTCCGAAGCTTTGCCGAAGCGCACGCTGCATTGGCGAAAGTGAAGTCGTTCTTTTATGCGCTTAATATTAGTGAACGTGACGAGGAAAACATTTTAAACGTGGAAAGTGCTCTGTTTGGTCTAAAACGTAAAGTTTCGACAAACCAGTTGTCCATTAAAGACTTTTTTGGTAAAAAAAAGTAACTTTGAAAGAGAAACATTGTTTTTTTTAAATTTTTAATGCTTTCCCGCATCTATCGTTTTCCCGCATTCATCGTTTTTATTTCCCACCCCCGCCGAAAACGATGCATCGAGGTTTCACTGTACCTCCATCAGCCAAAGGACCTGCCAGAAAAGATTATAAATCTGTAAATGTGGGAAAAGGAAGAAGTCTGTTGGCTTTGTAAGTATACAAATACATTACATTATTTCACACATATATGCATAAAACTGTATCACGACCTGGCCATATCTAAATAACAGAGTTAAAATCAGAGATGGACCGATGCAAAATTTATTAAAATTTTCTTCACAGAATAGTGTAGCCATATGTAACACATAAACAAGGGGTCTGTCTTGTGTTGTAACAACCCCCTGAATGAAAAATTCCATATTACAAATTGACTGTGTACAGAATTTAACACATTTCTCACATCATGGGTATTATAAAACCGAGTCCTTACATATTATAAAGATTTTCTTAAACATATTCTTTTTCTGAACTGATACTTCAAGAATTTTTGGTTCTTGTTACAGCTCATTTTTTCGGTGTTCTTTCCAACCTGTCCAATGTAGAAGAGGTAGAGAAACAAACTGAAAACAAGATATTCACCAAAACTTATGATGCCTGCTTTCCTTCAAATGATTCGCTCTACTTTTTAAGGCTAGCATCAGCTATAAATCAGTAAACATAAAACTGTTTCACTTAACGTGCATTATTTCTAGTACTACGGATTTCTATTATGTTACATACTTAAGACACAACTGAGTTATTTTTCTATTGAATTACTGAATCCTTGTAAAGTGACCCACGTCTTCAACAGATGTAGTGGTAAGGCCAACATCTTGCAGGGTAGTTACACACACAATGAACTTGAAACCCCTATATCTAAAACCAGAATTGTTCTCTTTAATTACACATACAACATTTGCAAATAAACACCATGCCCCTGCTTCTGCTTCGGCCTCGGCCCAACTCTTATTTGAACTCACATTAAGCTCTACCTTTGGCCTTTGCACCGGCAGCATCAGAAGCTTGTACAAACGTCCTCTGAAGTCGGCTTTTTTGTTTCTCACGGTAGCCATCAGCTACTCCTTGAGAAAGACTTGCCACCAGGTGCATCGTTTCTGCCGGATATCTGCCAAGACAAATATAGTATCCATAAAAATCAAGTCTTCTATTTCTTCATTAACAGACTAAAACAAGAATCGAAAGGTGCATATGTGAAGTATCATATTTAATCTTCAATGGCAATTTCATAACCAACCAACTCCCTGGTAGCAGAATCTGCAGGTCCAAAACTGACAACTCCAAAGCTCGCCACCATACATGAACCTAAACGTCTTGGTCTGTGCAGTGGTCGTTTTCCAAAAGGATTTCCCAACAACATTCTGTCCGCCCCTGCCCCCCCCCCCCCCCCATGTGTGCTGCATGTCCAGCCCACCGAAGCCTCCTAGATTTCACTATCCTCACCATGCTGGGCAACCTGTACAATTCCTGCAGCTCCTCATTATGTAATATTCTAATTCCCCACTTATTTCATCCTTCCAAGGTTCAAATATCTTCATGAGCAATTTAAATTTTGGACCCCTAAGCAAAGCCATGTTCTAGAATTAAATCTAAAATGTAATCAATTTAGACAACAAACAAATTATTGCATAATTAATTCTCTGGCAGCAGAACTCAAATGTTTATTGCCACTAATACCAAAAAATGCCAATCCAAGCCATTTCCAACCACAATTTATTTCCCCAAATCCTGTCCTAATGTTATACTTAAATCTCCTTCTCAGACATCCAAGTGATCACTGTCAAACAGATTAAAAAATCGGTGGCATAACAGCTCCAGCCTTCTTACACATTTACTTTGATGCAATATATAACAGGTTTAAATATTTATATTTAGCATTAAAAGATGTTAAATACTGCACCTAATTAACAAAAAGTGTATGAAGACCTGATGTGGCACTATTAGGTGCCAAAATAATGTCAATATAAATTACTTACAACTGTTTGTATGCACAAAGTTATTGTCAACAGTTGGAAAAACACTACATAAAGAAATGATCTAAAATGAAGCATCATGACCGACTCTATATTATCAAAAGTCTGGCAAAAGTACTTGTGAAGCATGGCTTTGCATGTCTACAAAAATTATGCAATATTTTGTTAAATTATATAAATTCATAAGAAGCACTAATAAAAAGCAATATTTAAAAACTTATGTGATCTGTATATAATATTATTTACATTAAAAGGTAGACACTTGCTAATAGCAAATTATTTTTTTTTTTACCTGCATCCTAAAAATTCAATGTTGGTAAACACTTGGGCAAGACAAACCAACCGATCTTCTGGAAACTTATCCTTGTGTGCCAACATAAAACTTCTTCTGAGCTCCCAATGTTCATCACATTCATGTTCTGTTTTGAACTGATCTACATCCAAATCTCTGTTAAAACTCATGTTGGTCGTCTTTCTACAAAATTAAACACACAATAGATTATCAACCCAAAAATCTAATGACTCTACTGGCTCATATTATTTGGGAAAAAATAAAGCATTTTATAACTTTTTATATTATAATGTCCAAAATAGCTCAAAGTCCTCCAATGCTTCCTTCTTAATGGGTACTGAGCATATTTGGCAGAATATAAAGCAATGATAAAGCTGAGTCTATGCAGTTTTATGTTCATGCCTCAAAGGTGGGCAACTTAGACATACGGTTCTATATGTAATAATTACTATATTAATCTATTACACTAATTAATTAATGCAGTTAAATGTAAAACCATTTCCTTCCTCTAATCAATAATCAAGCTATAATATGTGACAATGTTTCCACTTTATCATAAACACCACCACTTTTCATGTTTTAATATTTCAACAAAGTCTGACATATAAAGCATGCCAGTGATTTTATCACAAGTCACGGTCCAATGTATTCCTAGTACAGCGGGAAGCCCTAGATCATATTTTGTGCAGTTGACTGTCATGTAAAGTAATTACTTTTGTATAAAATTAAAGAGGAAATTGTGAGCTTTCATTTCAACAGTGAATAGATAAAATTGGTGAAGGAATCAATACATATGCGGTGCAGTTTCTATGGGGGCAGGAAATATCAAGCAGGCCCACTGCTATGGCATGGAAACCTGGGATACAAGAAGAAATTTGTGTTGTACATAGTGCTTCTATGCTTATGGGCATCATTAAAAAATCTGCTCCAATACATTTTTTTTCCCACAAAAGGGCTAATTTCCACACCAGCTTTTGGAGACATTGCAACACAAGAGAGAGACTGAAACTAATTTGTAAATACTTTACATTTTGCTAACAATGAAACCATCAACAATTTCCAGTACCAAAGAAACTTTTCAAAATGTTCCCTGTAATTTCACATCCAAATAACAAATGTGAGAAATTCTATTTCCCTAATGAGGACATTTCAAATTATGAATCACTTGACACTTTGGAAACATTGTCTGTTATTCATACAGTACCTCCCATTCCTCAAGGAATTGAAATATGGAATAAAAATTGAGCTGTGACATGACCACTGGGTATTTGTGGCCCTTTCTTGTATATGCAGGCAAGGATACTCTAACTGGATTACAGATTACAGTAATAAAACAACAGCCACTATTCTGAAACTGGTAGAGCCTTTACTGAAACAGGGTCAGACTCTGTGGACAGATAATTTTTATAACTCACCCTGTCTAGCCAAAAGAGTGAAGATTGTAAACAAGATTGTGTTGGTACACCGAAACTGAAACAAAATAAAATGTTTCAAAAATAGTGAAAGGCACAAAACTGAAAAAAGGCACAATAACAACACAGCATTCTGGGCCTGTGTGTCACAATTTGGAGTGACAAGGTCATTTAATAAACAAGCTTCCACCTTCTGAGAAAGAAGAAAGACCACAGATAAAATATGTTGTGTGTCAGATGCTCGAAGGATGAAGTGTTATAATGTAAAACGTGTGACAGAAGACTCGGTGTGGAATGTTTTGAAGACAACCACATCAAGCTTAAATTCTATGGTAATAAAATATTATTACTCCATAATTCTCACAAGTTTACTGTGCTAAAATACTAATATTTAACTACGTCCACGGCACTGAGTAGCAATGAAATGGCATACGGCGTTGGGTGTTAGGTCGCTAATGGCGTTTATAAGTGTCCTGTGTACACCCCGTAATATGGAAGGTCACTTACCACTTCGACAATTTTGCTCCAACCACATATCGAAAATGACTACAATCAGAGTCCTACAACCAAAACCCCAAACAAGTTATTAGAACATTCACCTTTATGAAGAATGCTTATAACTTCTTCATCAAAAGGTACAAAATACCGTAGTCTCGTTCCACCACTCCACACCACACCACTCACTCACTCCATCCATCCATCCACGCAATGGCAATACCACTGCAATTGTAGCATACATTTCAATATTACCAACAAAAAGCAATTTTACAATACCTTTGGAATTGACAGCGTTTCCTTGGGAAAAAAACTATTCAATCACCTAGTTTCTAAGTTATATTTCTATTCGAAAGAACAAATAGTCTGCAAAAGTGTACTAGATACAACACATCAATTGTTTCCATTACATATAAATGAATGTCACGGATCACAGATATACAAATAGCACAGAAGTTAATTTTGTCACAGATAAACAATTAAAATTTTATTCACTGATTTCCATCTGTGCAAACGACTGGCAATGAACATCGAAGATTTGCCTAAATCCAAGGGTTCCATATAAAATTTTAAGATATAACGTAAGGATAAAACCCGGCCTTTGACGGTCGCGGGCGGAATATTTCCGCAGCGCGGAAGTGTTTGCCTCGATCAGTATTTGACGCAATATTCATTTTAAAGGGGGTCAATTGGAATTTTATTAGTTGGCACGTTAGATAATATTATTTGTTTCTGTCTTACAAATGTAGCGACATATTAGAAGAAAAACTGAAAATGCAGAAATTACATTTTGAAGACGAGTCGCCGGGTATACCTTTCGGGACGAAATAAGAAGTATCACCAAGCGTGAAGAACTATAGATATTTTACACTGGTGAAAGAATTCAGTCACATAAAACAGAGTGACATAAACACCTCTCACGAATGAAACAACAGAGAATAGCACAAGTTATGTCTTATAAATGTATCGGCTACAGAGACATTGGGCGTACGAGAAGACGATGGAAGATACATTTTCTTATTTTTAAGCATTTTATGTGAACAGAACAGGCCCGTTAGGTCTTTCTTGATAGTGCTGCGGATTCCTCAGCATTTTACTGCTCACGGCATTTGTAACAATGACGTTATAAAATAATATTCAAAACTCTTATATGTTATACTTCTTTGCATAAATCATCATTTACAAGAGTAAAGTAGTCTGCAGCCTGCCAATCATATGGGGCTGTTCTCCTGCTCAATAAATTTCTTCCATGCAGACAACATAAAAATTAAAATGAACATTGCCCATCAGTTTACAAATGGCAGCTTACTGAGCCCTGTAGTAACCCCACAGACTGTCTGGATCATTGACAGGTTCATTTGCAACAAGTACCTTGAAGAGGGCAAGAAGTAACAAAAGGAATGATTCAAAGGGGAAAAGCTTACAAAGTTATGGCAAAACCTAATGAATCTGATGCCACTGGCACTACAGTTGCATGCAAAGTACATCAAAAGAACAAAAATTAAAATAAATATTGCAGGATGTGTTACATGTTCTACATTATGGACTTCAAAACAAATTGGGCAAATTTACATTAATTTATGTTTCTCAGAAGGCAATTAATATTCGTGGAACAGTAACTATGACCTCTAACAACAAAATATCGAAATTATAATTACCCACACCATGAAATTATGGGAATTCTTATACCTGCAAACATGCCTAGTAACAGATATCTTCAAAAATTTTCATTTCAAATATATTGGATTACAGGCCTGACAGGATTTCATGAATTTTTAAATTCACAGCCCAAAAATAGTTAACCTCTAATTCTTGTTGGTTTTTCTTTTCTTAATATGTTGTATTCTACAATATATGTATTATATAAATGAAATTATTCATACCTTCAAGAATTATTTCTTCAGAACTTTGTAGTTGTATCTGCAAGGATTATCACTCCTAATTCCTGAGGAGAAATAAGTGCTGTAAACTTCATGTCTTCAAAACTGTGACCTGTTGCCAAAAATTGTAAGGTAGCAATCAGCCATTCTTCTGCACTTATGGCTCTTCTTATTCTTGTACTTTATTATGAAAGGTTTTTATCACATAAAGAACAACTTTAAAACATTCATAAATCATTTTAAAATAATTTTGCTGGGCATCTTTATGTGAATGGGTACCTTAAGAGATCTACTAAACTTGCATTTATTAGCTTTTACAGTGTGTTAAAAACATTTTCCCATCAGTGTTAATGTGAATGACTGGATTTCAAAACATGCCACTTTTATTAATAGAGCTTATATTTCAGCTTCACAGATGTTTAAATTGTTCAGCAATTCTTAAACTTAAATATTGTTTGTGCATGTTGAAACTAAAATGATATGACCCTTCTGGATTCATCTAACAGAAATAATGGCAAATTTGAGTGCACTGAGCTTCACCCTCAACCCTTCTGTGTGAGTTCTGCTTTGGTACAGTAATAACTTTAAGAAAATGTATATTTTAGGAGGAATCATGGGATGATATTCTGATTACCAGGTCTCTTGTCTCTTACATACCACTTTTAGTAATATACAAATTGTAAAACTGAATAAAGACTAGAGTTAGGCTAATAATTAATTATGATAATGCACAATTTCAGATTCCTTCCACAATTAAATAGTTTTATAATTTTTTTTAAAAATTAACAAACACATGAAAATATTTATCTCCTGAAGTCACATACCTTTTATTTGGGGCATTTTCAGCCTAGTAAATATGGAACCCAGTAAACATAAAAGTACATTTAGGCTTTCAAGTGATAGTTACAATTGCCTACTAACATCTGCCTTTATAATATACTGATCCATATTTCAGTTACTATCTTCCATTCTGTACCGTTATAAGGTGCTTATTGATTACATATATACAAACCATTCAGAATAATGGAAAAATCTACAAAGACACATATCTTGATTTTTAGTGCTTTGGGTATACAGAAAGGTAACAGCATCGGAAGTAAATAATGACAAGCATATCCTGAACTTATTTTTGTGTTGTTTATAGTTGCTCCCAGATATCTACATTAAGAAATAGTTAATCACCTATATATAATTTAGAATTGTTCTTTACCTAATTAAAGTGTGAAGAGATAAGACTTGAGTCCTCACACCTTCCTAGATACCTACATTTTGAAATAATTTCAAATGGTTAATCCTCTTTATAATTTAGAACTATTTTTTACCTAAGAAAAGTCGGACGATATAAGACATGATTCCTTATACCTTGCCCGACATTATTTGTCATGATTTTTCCAAACTAAAATTAAGAACAAGGTGAACAAAGCTGCACTGCTCACTGGTGTTACATTCAACAATCCAGAAGTCATGTCACCTTGTCTGTCTTGCTTAATATCAAGGTCACGCTTCTACAAAAGTGACAATGACATTCCATAACTGTAAATGGTATGGAATTGTCAATCCTTTCTTATTAGACATACTTTATGCTGTAGCATGAACAAAGAACACAAATTTTGTGGTCTATTTAACAATGCACCCAATAGCTCAGATCATATAGAATAAAACACTGTGATGATTAATGAACTGGGAATTTTAAGGTACCACCCAATACTTGTTTACAGGAACTGAGGAAAACATAATCCTGTCAGTATAGCTGGCCTCCAGGCTATGATTTGAACCCAGGGGTTCCCAAGGAAAAATCAGGAGTGCTAACAATTTAAATATGACATTTGGTACAACAACTGCAAACAGTTAAAATCTTTCTCATGGGATGATGTTATAGACAGAAAAACATTCACTTAACAGGAAGATCAGGACTATCAGGAGGACAAGTGTAACTAACCTCTCCCACCATGGATATCAGTTGAATGGGCTGATGAAATGACTAAAGACATGTTACCACCGTAAAAAACCCTGAAAACTGTACACAAGTTTGACCACAAAGACAAATGGGAAGGATCTTGCATGAACACAACAAGGCATGTATTCACACCAGAAAAGTAATCATAAGATGAGAATGATGTGATATGCCCATATGAAATAATAATAAATAATGTTTACCAAAATGTTGGGACACCTTTAATGCATGATTTGCTAATCCTCAAAACATAAAGCTGCAAAAATCAAAGGACAAGGGGAAAACAATTGACCATAGACCTGTATTTATAATTTTTCATCATAATAATTTTCTTATTTCAAACCATAAGAGGTCATTTATTATTATTACAGAATCAAGAAGCATAACAGTTATATTGTACAGGTAACCCTCGATTTACGCCGGGAATGCGTTCCTGGACGAACCGGCGTAAATTGAAACTCTCTTTATAATGTAAATCAATGGGAAGTCATTGACATGCGTTCCCGGCACCCAAACATTGACGAGTAATATAATGACGTTACATTTAAAGTTCTGAAATAACGTAAATAAAATAAAGGACACTTAAAATCGGCAGTTCGTTTGTACCCGCGATTCTTTCATGTCATTGATGTGCACAGTCATCTCTGCTGTTATGTGATAGTTGCATTCATGTAAGACGCCGACGTATAGAAAATCGCATAGTAAAAATAACACCGGTACTTCCGCACAGATTAAATTATCCTTTTGAAAGTTTAAAGCGGCAGGAATGAATAAGAGCAAACTCGCATATACAAAAGTTTACATTTCAGAAACAGCTTTTACCGATTCATCGATCTCATTGGAGCAAATTCGCGTTAACGAAACATACGTAATTGCGGAGGTGACTGTGTTTATAATTTTTATTCAAAATCAGCTATGTAAGAATTACGATTTAGTATAAGAATCAGTACGAGAAACATTGTAAAACGTCATCAATAATAGCAAAATAAATTCGTTTCACTTTTGGACTTGCTGGTTTCAAAAGCGACGTTATTCTGAATCGGCGCAAATCGAGGATTACCTGTAATATTAAATTTACCATAACAGTGATGTCTGAACCATCATAAGTTCTTAATTAATTGCTGCTTAGCAATATATCAAAAATACTTAAGTTAGTAAGGCCACCAGCTTGGTATTACTGTCATAAGGTATAATAAAAAATAAAGAAATAAAAACATGGGTGTGACAATGATATTACAGAGCATTACAACCCAGAAGATAACCATCTTCAGACTCACTGCCACAAAAACCTAAAATCCTACTGGAGTAGCATATGTTAAATATAACAACCAACACAACAGCAAAGGTTGACATAAAAGAACTTGAGTATCCTTGAAAGTACTTACATTATCAAGCATTCTTGAAAGTTCACCGAGCTCTTCTACCTCCTGCTACGGACTTACTAACATATTGCTAAAATGGTGACCAGACAATGAAGTCTTGGCAATAAAATGTTTTAACTGAACTAGGGATACACTTGCATGTTTGAATATACACAGATAATTAAACTACAATATCCTGCTTGTCTCATTTCATATTTTCTTGCCCAACTTGACACTGCTTCAGAAACTGCTCCATATGCAACCTTGTGAAATTACAGCAGGTAGGATGAATTAGATGTATGAGAAACTGACAAAACATAGTTTGCTCAACAGAAGAATTACTTTTTTATGAAATATAATAGAAGCCATTTATGTGTCAATGAGTTGAATTCAAAAGTGAAATAGGCATGCCTTTAGAATCAACCTGTATCTACGGACATGAGGAGAAACAAGCCTAACAGCACAAAATACCTACTTTCTTGTAACATACACAAATATTGTGTTACTGCTCTCACAGCAATACAGTGCCAAGGGTCTGCTATATTCCTGGCAGTTCAATATAACCTTCTAAGGATAAACTCTAAATTATTAAAACTCCAGGCTTTAAAGTCAATATGAAGGAAAAATAAATACATGAGAAATTCACATCATTACACATTTATTAAAAGCATAATTTAAAAGATACAAACCATAAAAGTATTACATAAACTATCTTCAAATTTTAAAAATAAAGTTCACCAAACACCCAAAATACAATATCCTGTAACACAAATTAAGTACATGGCCTACTGTACAAAATATATTTAAACCTCCATAAATTGCATATGTACATGTACCTATACCCAAGGAAATTATACATATTATATGTACCATGTCATGACATATTATATTATATTTTATGAAAGATAAATTAGACAAAACCATTAAAACTAATACCTAACAAGCATACAGAATAGTTTGTACATTTGCTTACAAAAGTGTCTGACGGTGGTAAAAACACAACTGCCACAGGAAATACATATTTACTTTTTAAATAAACTTTAATTAAAAAATAACATATTTAAATTAATCATAAAGTATAAAAGCCCCAATTATTTACAAAAACCTTGCAAATACTTACATTATAAAGGTGTAAAAATATATACTCCCACTTAAAATACTTTTAAGTTTCAATAATCACATGTAGAGTACATAAGTCTTCTGTATATATTTCATATAAAAATAATACTACATGAGCAATTATGTTCTAGTAAACATTTTCTGGAACTATTAGTACCATTACATCAAATTCATATTAAAAGCATTTCTGTGGTGAATAAAATCCCAGCCGAATAGCTTGCAGCGACTGGTTCACTTCCTTGTTTATGCTGCACCTATACATGAGGAACTGAGGCACCTTACTGATTATGCAACAGACTGTACTGTTATAACTGTACAATCAACTTTCACTTTTGCTATTTCGCTGTCTGAGAAAGTCAGCCTTGGAAGTTAGAATTAAAAAAAAATAAAGTAGAGGTCAAGCATATTCTAATATTTCCTCAAAGCAACTCAATTACCTACAGACACCCACTATCAGGAAATTAAATACCAATATCTGTTCACTATTTGAAACAAATAAAAGCACTTAGGAGAGATATTCTTTGTGCTAGCAGCTTATTTCTTCTCCAAGAAACCTCAAACTGAAAGAGTTTCTGTAGGAACTGAATGTACACCATCAAAATGTATATACACTTTGATTAATGCCATTGCACTGTTATTTTGTACAACCATTTGAACAAGCAGTTTCCTCCTGAGCGCTTCTTAATAGAACTGGCGATTTGAATTTCTTTTTTGACACAAGTTTGTCAAGCCCTTCTCCTGCATACGATACCAGAGGTGAAATCTCACAAATGACAGCCATCCCATTAGTTTCAACAAAGCCACCTGCATCTTGAATGTAAGAGCGATGCAAGGAAAATATGTCTTTACGGCATGTTGTGGGACTTTCTTTTTCTGCAGTATCTGCATTCTTAAGTGGGCTAAATTCCTCTTCCCGTTTTACTTCCCATATCACAAATCGATCTGCATATGGAAAAACATCAAACACAAATTTCTCCATCTTTATCCCATTTGGTCTTTCAGGCTTGTGTCGCTGGCCATTGACATCAACATATGGAATCTTCTTCTTAGCTACATGAAGCTGGAGGTTGCTTTCAACTTTGTCTGCAATTTTGCGAAGAAATTCTGTAGTGAAGAAATGATTGCAGATATTGCCAGCACTGAAAGTTAGTTTTCCATCACTATTACACTTCTCTGCAGTCTTTGATGTTATCTCACTATACTCTACAACCTGGTACTGTCCATCTACTTTACATATGACACCTACTGCTTCTTGTGGTGATGCCTTGTCAACTACTTTTGCTCCACATTCTGCATTCTTTTTTACACAGTAGCCAACAAACACAGGATCTGCTACTTTAACAAGAATGTTATCTACAGCATGTGCATGGAGAAACTTTATGCCTCTGTTTTCCATATCATCCAAAATGTTCTTGTCTCGCAATGCTCTATAAATTCCTCCATTGCCATCTGGGGCTCTTGCTATTTTCCATTTTTCATCCATGATAATTCTGCCATCAAATGTAAAACAAGGAAGCAAACCTTGTTCAAACATAACAATATTATTCTTATTAAGACCAAAAAAGTTATGTTCCTTAAAAAATTCTTCTGTTGCATCCATTGTGGCTTCACTTGTCATGATGTACCATGTAATACTGCTACGTTTACCTGTTCTGTCGTAAGCCAGGTCTTCCAACTTCCTAATCCTCTCTGCCTGCAGCTGAAATAATGGTTTGTGTGAAGGAAGGCCCACATCATACATACCTTTCGGATATAACACTCCCAGTCTGGTACCCTGGCCTCCTGCCATAAGGAGAACACCTACGTTTCCTTCTGAGATTTGCTGTAAACCTTCGGCTTCGTAAGACTTCAGTTCGTCAGGTGACGATCTGACAACTCCACCGTATAATTCTGGCGGTACTGGTTCCATACGATCATCCAACTTCGACTGATCCTCGTTCAAAGTCTCCATAGCCTTTTGGAAGTATGAACATACTTCTGCCACGTTCACTTCTTTAATATCACAACACAATATTGTTTTTTGTTCCTCCGTTAATTCGTCCCAAAATTGTAAAACGTGTGACTGGTTGAACTTCCCCAGTGTTATGCTAATTTTTTCTAACTCCGACATTGCTAACCTTCAAAGGTAACAGATTTACAACAATAGCTGTAATAACCAGAGTCTTTTTACGCTATTCTCTATCCACTCTCGGCGAAAGCTGATAGCTGAATGTTGGCTCCCTCCCATCTTATATGACATTTGACGTTTGGAACATAGCAACCACGCCAACACTAGACTACTACAAGTATCACTACTAGGCTTCTCTACCACCAATCCCACCAATACGTACACTAATCCACAATATGTTTACTATCTACCAATGGCAAAGCTTCTATCTACTACTAAAGGCACTTCCAGAATCATTTTGATACAACCTCACTGCCATCTAGATGAAACATTGGATACGATTACGAAGCAACCGGCATGTAACAGGTAGCGTGGCCGAGCGGTCTAAGGCGCTGGTTTTAGGCACCAGTCCGAAAGGGCGTGGGTTCGAATCCCACCGCTGCCATACATTTTGTTGTAATTTTATCGGTAGTACAATTCTTGTAAACATTTGTATACAATCATTCCGAAAATGTTAAAGACGGACAAAAGATTTTTGTGACATGCTAAAATTAAAACAAATGAATTCTTTTGATGAGAACTGTGAGCGTAGGTCAGCCACAATCTTGGAAACTTAAAAAATGCATATAGAATCTGTTCATACATATGGAGTTGATAGCTTTATATAGCTTAAAAGCTACAAGCATTTATATATGTTATGAATTATTTAAATTGCAATACCATTTTTTACTTCTTTAGAAGTTACAACTACTTGGCAATGCAAAGGTGCATAATTAATATTACCATATTAGGTACATAATGTACTTATAACAAGAAGGCGAAAACATACTAAACTTTGTCATTAAAAAATCAACAGATATGAACTAGCAATTAAAAAGTGCAAAATTAATACATACAATTAAATTTTGGCTGGCTGAAGGCAGAAGGGGCGTCTCTCTCCCTGAAGCCTCTCCATGTTATAACACATGTGACCCTGCATATTGATATCATCATGTCTTTTGATCTGGTGGCATGGAAAATTTATTATATACTGCATCCTTGATTCAGTGTTAAGCCAAGACTGATTAGTGTTTGAAACAATTTCTATAAAGTGGTGTGTAATTAATTAATACCTTATGAAATAAGTTCTTATAAAAAGTCTTACTCATATATGTACTAAGTTCATTACTAAAAATAGGCCACAACCACTGTCTTTCACATCCCTTCCAATTAATTGTTAACAAAACATCCTTCTACTCAACAATACACAACCTTCACAGCTGAGTGTTATAATTAATCATATTACGCAAAGCAGGAATATTTTAATTTAGTGCAGTCTTTAAAGGACTGTTTGCTTATCCAACAGTTGTAGAGCTACTTTAAATAACAATTATATTAGGGTTGGAAATATGAGGAGTAAACATTTCAAACCAAAACTTAAATTCTATGTAAATTAACTGTAGAATTTCCTGTGTCATAAGACCTTAATTCTATTATCATAAGATAAAAGAATATTGTATAGATCACAAGAAGGATATATCTAGACATACCTGTTTTATCAGTGAAATTAATCTGGTAAAAAAACAATATTTCACAATTACAATTTATCTAATCTTGAGAAATTTGCAAATATAGTTAGATAATAAAGATGATTTCATTATTCAGACTGATAATATGGACCAGGGGTTCCCAACCCACAGTCTGCCTTTGTGTTTTGTGTTGCCCACATACATTTTTTTATCATATACTGTCACCCTTCATGAAAAAAATATTACCCGATAACAGAAAATGTTTTAATGTCATCAGTATATGGCAATACTTTTCTCTGTGAGCAACTGTCTAGCTTAATTAAGTATGTCAAATCAAAACTAAGTTATATCATAGATATGAACACAAGGAGGTATGCATGAAAATGTTAACAAGATAAATTAAACTTAATATTAAAAGATTACTGAACCAAAGTTTTTTAAAGTTTCTCAATAACTGTCAGTTTAGTTGAAGAAAATTGCTGAGTAAGACTAATTTAGTAGAATGTTCAATAAATTGTCCCAATTTATAACCTTGTGGCCTGCAAGTTGATAACAAATGGTAAATGTGGCTACAGGTCTGGAAAAATTTAAGAACCCCTAAGGTAGAGCTATATTTTTTACGATATATAGTTCATTAATTAATACTACTGACTTTAATGTTAAACAACATACAAAAGTAGCAAATGCTATTGTTTATGACAATATATTTGGGTGATCAGTTTATTAAGACTCTGTGCACAAATCCACAGTACACAAAAGTTATTAAAGTAGTATTACAATTTTATATAGTATTTACACTGAAAGTTATTACTTGTTTTGGAAGGGGTAATACTGGAAAATCTAAAAATAAATGTTATGTAGACCAGTGCAATTTGTATAATTACGAGAATACACAAACACAAACAAATAAATAAAAATTGTGGGCTAGTTTTGAAGGGAAAATATGGAAACAGAAGGATAACACATTTAAACAAGAAATGCTAAAAGTAAAAAAGCTGTCCCACTATACGCCATGTAGGCACTGGAAGGGAGAGCTCCTACTCATTCTTAACCTCAGCACTAGGTGAAGGTGAGTGATTAGCATCACACCCTGGCCACACTTTACCCCCTGGGAAAGGACCCCGCTACCCATTGGATAGGAGGCTGGATGGACCCCAGAGCCAGATGCTACTTTACCTAATGTCACCCAACATTAAAGACGGTCTAAATAATATACATGATTTAACACATTTCCTCAAGTTCTACATTCCTATGAACTGACATAATACTAACAATTACTAATGTTACCTATTTCAATGCATTTATGAAGTTAAAACAACAATTATGCTTAAGCACAGTATCATAAAGCTGTAACAGTGGACATAGATGTATGGCTCCAAGTTTCAGCTGATCTAAACAAAAGTGAAATACCCCTATTGACTATGGAAGAGGGGAAATATTTTTGAGCAATTCTAGATGTAGTGGTCGAAACAAGAATCCCAATGTTTGTACCAAGATCACATCCTAGGTATACTGAGTTCACTGAAAACAACTATGAAGAAAAACCATTTTCATTTTGCTCTGCCTGACAGTGTAGTAGAGGTCTGCATGGGCCCAAATTTTGGATCATTTGGACCAACCCAGCCTGAGATTTGCCTTAAAATATAATACCATACCCATCCTAAGTTTGACTTTCATTTATTCCAGCCTGAATAAAGCCCAATCTATTTACAATCTGTTCTGAATATTGTTACCATCCTTTTAATGTGTAAATACCAGTAATACTTTAATTAATTATTTAATGATGCTCTAAAACATCTGAGGCTGCTTTGGCACTTGAGGAATGGTACAAACATATCGGATGTCAAGTTTGTAAGGTATTATCCCAAACTATTTCTGGCAGAGAGAATCTACAAACATTCCTGAGAAAATCAAGTCACTGGGGTTTGTTTCCAGGGTCTGAAGGCATGACATGCATAAGATAAGCACAACTATAAAAAACTTTTGATGTAAATACGTCTATACGGAACGGTCATTTGGCAAAAAGTGTAACGAAGATGTGTAAATATGGACCGACAATGGTCAGCTTGCAAGCACTGTTGTTACCTAAGAAACTAATTGTTACATCATCTGTTTACTCGGCATTGTCGTGTTGCAATACTGCCAACAATCCGCTTTCGTTATCAATCGAATAACACAAGTACTTATCTTATATAAGAATTATTACATTACATTACAATACATTACATTCAGCTACCAAAGACCCCATCTTAAGCGTAACTAATTGAAGTTAAATAAGCAATGTCTTAATCAAACTATTTACTCAATTGTAAAGCATGTATAAAGGGAATATATAGCACAAAGCTAATATATAAACTTCCTTTCATTGTATTTATTGCTTAAATAAAATTTAAATACAGACGTATTTACGTCAGATTCTCCAGAACCATGGTTCTACTGTCAATTTTTCTTTGCAAAAAATGAATGGTTTGAGAAAGGCCAAAAATGTCCTATGTAATATTTGATTGCTATCACTTAAACCAAGCCCAAACCCAGCTTAGACCTTAACATTACCTGTGCTATCAGGCCCACACCTGAACATTTTATTTTCAGTCTTATTTCCAAGTTTCACACCAACACAAAAAAAAGGTAAAATTATAGTTTTCCTATAATTTAATCTTTACTAGCCAGGGTACTTCAGTCAGCTGTACAACTGGGTTTTGATTCCTGGCACAGCAGGACTTGCTTCATGCCACAGTGACCACACCTCCTAAACAATGGCACCATGCTTTTCCTTCAGGTAAAGTGGCCAGGGCATGAACCACTCACTTCATCTAGTGCTGAGGTGAAGATTGCATAGAGATACACCTTCATTTCCCCATACTTCTGCATGGTGCTTATGTAAGTACCGCGGGCAATTTTACCTCACCTTATATTTTAATATTTATATTTTTTGATAGCAGATGGAGAGACAAAAGATTCATAAGTGCACGGTAGCAAGCATTCCTTTCAACAGCCAACAACAGTAATTATTCCAATTCTAACGGGGGTTTTCCATCATTTGTCCTTTAAAACCATGACGTTTCGGAGGTTATGCGTCTGCATGTATCTATCTGTAGTTAGTATATGTGTAAACGTTTTATCATTTTGTCTTCTTTAGGGCCAAATGGAATGATAATAAAATATCTTTCTGTGAAATTACACTTGCCTGTTATCTTCCGACAGGAAGTTCCAAATGAACATGTTTA